TGCATGTTCATCTTTGTTTTAATTAAAGAAAAATACAAAAATAGGTTGCATTGACATTTAGGATTTAATTCTGTAATTAGGAGTAGTTAAGTGTGTTCTACAAAAATGAAAAATTCACAAAAAATAATGTACTTCGCGTTTTAATATTTAATGTCAAAATCGTGTGATTTTCTTTTATTCAATTTTGTGTGATATTTGTTTTTAAGAGTTAATTAGCATTTTTAGTTAATTTTTGTTTTAGAATTTAAATTAGGATTTTTAGGANTAGGTTTTTAATTTTGAAGATTAGTTTAAAAAGAAAAGAAAACAAAAATGAAAATAGAAGAGAAATCGGACTGGGCCATATTAATTTTGACCAAATCCAGCCCAAATTTTGTGACTAACCCGGTCCAACTGATCAGCCCACTCAGACGTCCCAAACGACGTCGTTTATGTCACTTTCAATCAGTGCCGTTGGGTTAAATCAATCCAACGACAGAGATCATCTCTCCCTTACCCATTCCCCAACCCGACCCGTTTACTGGAGATGAATCTGGTCTCAGGAGTGCCTAAACGGCGCCGTTCCACTTAAATGATCAATCCAGGCCATTGATCTTATCAGATCAAATGGCTAGGATTCTTTTTCCCTTTCTGGTATATAAATCTAATCCCTTACCCAGTCCCCCCCAAGCCAAACCCCTCCCTTTCGTCTCCAAGAACCAGAGACCAAACGACCCCCTGAAACCCTAGCCGCCCTCATGCCCCTTCACCTGAAACTCGGTGGCAACAACGCCGCCGGCCACCCAAATAACACCCCTAAACCTTCTAGCCACCCTCTTCACGAATCCATGTTCCGTTTACTTCGAATCGCAACAGAACTCTTTGAATCTTCAATCGAAGATCGTCCAAAAAACCTCACCTTCTCCGATTAACCCCAAACTTACACCACTAAGCCACCTAACCTCCATTGTTCCCAAATCACCCCTACTTTTGTTCGAATCCCATTAGAACTAGTCGAATCTTAAATCGACTAACAAACCTTAAAAAGACCAAGACTGGAACCTGTCCAAAATAGGAGAGTTTTGAGGTTGTTAATCGACCTTAGTCGAGTGTTCTCAGTCGAGAACACTCAATTAAGGTCCATTTTTGGCCTCAGAAGTTCAAGTCAGAATTACGAAGGTCAATGAGAACGGAGTTCATTTGGTTTCTGATTTTGAGGTATTTTTCCTCTTTTCCTTTTTCTTTTTTGATTGTTGTTTGTTGTTTGCCTAATGAGGTTTCATTGCTATGTTTGTCAATTACTTCTTCCCCCCTCTTTCGGACCTTTTTCTGGTCCAAATTTTAATCACTGTATTAATTGGATTTAGTTGAAATCGCTCGAACCCCTGTCTGTTTTGTTTCACTCTGGATTAGTTTCTTCTTTACATTGTTGAGTATTTCGAGTTAGGCAAGTTCAGTGAGTGATTGTATAAAACTGTGATCGTTTGATATTACTGTTGGTTCAAATTGTCTTATTATGTTATGTTTGATTCTTTCCTCTCCGTTGCCAATCAGTTTGTTGCATATGAA